TCCCTTCGTTTTAGATGCCGGAGTAGCTGGTGGACAAGGCTACTAGAGACCTTGGAAGCTTTATTCACTGTGTTCTATTCAACCAATTTATACAGCCGCCAAGTCGGTTAAAAAGAAAATCCAGCATATAACAAAAAAAACTAGCCACCTTGGCAGCAACGACACAGATCAAATCAACCACAAGTTGTTATAACCGTGATGCACAGGCTCCATTAAAGTCATAACTCAAGGACTACCTGTACAGGGAGTTCTCTCCTTCACAAACACAATTGGGACCAGAACATCCATCACTAAGTGATTGAGATGACTCTCCCCAGATGCTTCCCCAGATACCTCTCCAGATGTCAGCTTGGAGGAGGATGAACCAGGCATTCTGGAGGGGAATTAGTCAATGGCTCCGAGTAGCTATCCGAGAGGGATTTGGCTGAAGCAGAGTTGCAGCAGGACAGCCCTGAGGCTTCAGGTGGGGAAAGCAGGAAAAGTTTGGTGACCTCTGCACTAAACCTCTGAATAGTCTTCAAGGACAGCCCCACGTGAAACGCAGGACAGTAGCCCAATTAAGGTCAGGAATCTTCCCGTTCTGTTCTGCTGGCCTCTGCGGCGGCCTTGAAGCCCTCAAAGATGTAGGCGGAGATGTAGAAGGGGTGTCTTCCTCTGGGTGGGTTGGAAATATGCTACGGATGACGAGCTGTCCGTCAAGCTTGACACCTCCCCCCCCCTTACAGTGTGTGACAGGACCTGAAATTGTCATTTTGTTCTCCTTTCAGTGCTTCAGCTCTTCTGCAGTTCTCCCAAGCCCGTCCTGAGATACGCTGCCGTCAGGACCCTTAATAAGGTGAGCGCTTCTACCCGGTATAATTTATCAATTAAATTCAGATGTCATTCGTGTCACCGTCAGGCGACGGTGGACCACTTTTGCAACGTGGTAAAAGCAAGGGCGAAACGTGGCAGCCTTAAATGCATTCATGCTGTCCTGCATTTACATTTCATACGACGTTAAAGTTGGTTTAGTGATTGGCGTTGGAAAAAAAAGGGACTTATGCCGTTTTTCACACTTAACGACCGTTGCAGCATCCCCGTGGTCATGTGATCCAAATTCGGCCGCTCGGCCTCTGACTCCTATTTAGGATGGTTGCAGCGTCCTGGAATCACGTGATCCCCTTTTGCGACCTTAAGACAAGCAAAGTCAATGAGGGAAGCGGGATTCATTTAACGACCATGTTGCTATCTTAACAACTGCAGCAATTTGCTTAACTATATTAAGAAAGGTTGTAAAATGGGACGAAACTCATTTAACAACTGTCTCAGCAACGCTCGGCTGTGGTCGTAAATCAAGGACTGCCTATAAACAAGGGAACAGTTAGCTGTTAAGGACCACATTGCTCGGACTTTCCCTCCATAAGGGCAGAAATTCCTGATGATGGAATCAGCTGATAATGAAGAAGGACTTCTTGGGGTTATGTTTTATTTTATTTTACTCATTTTATTTTATACTTTATTTTATACTTTATTTTATTATTTTACTTTTTATTTTTTATTTTATTTTACCTTATGATTTTACTTATTTTATTTTATTTTACTATATTTTATCTTATGATTTTACTTTATTTTACCTTATGATTTTACTTTATTTATTTGATTTCATTTCATATTTTATTTGGTTTCATATTTTATTTGATTTCATGTTGTTTTCCATAATGGCAGAATTTCCTGACAATGGAATCAGCTGATAATGAAGAACGATTTCTTGGAGTTACGTTTTATTTTAGTTTACTTATTTTATTTATTTTATTTTATATTATATTTTATTTTACCTTATGATTTTACTTTATTTTTATTTCATTTTATTTTATTTTTATTTTATTTTACCTCATTATTTTACTTTATTTTATCTCATTATTTTACTTTATTTTATCTCATTATTTTACTTTATTTTACCTCATTATTTTACTTTTTTTTAAATTCGTATTTTATTTCATTTTATATTTCATTTCATTTCATATTTTATTTTATTTCATGTTATTTTCCACAATGGCAGAATTTCCTGGCAATGGAATCAGCTAATAATAAAGAACAATTTCTTGGAGTTACATTTTATTTTACTTTACTTATTTTATTTATTTTATTTTATTTTATATTTTATTTTATTATTTTACTTTTTGTATTTTATTCTACCTTATTATTTTACTATTTTATTTCATTTCGTTTCGTTTTATTTTATTTATTTCGTTTCATTTTATTTCATTTTGTTTTGTTTTATTTTATTTATTTTATTTTATATTTTATTTTATTATTTTACTTTCTGTGTTTTATTCTATATTTTATTTTACCTTATTTTACTATTTTATTTCATTTCGTTTTGTTTTATTTTATTTTATTTCGTTTTATTACATTTTTTATTTATTTTATTTTATTTTATATTTTATTTTATTATTTTACTTTTTATATTTTATTTTATATTTTATTTTACCATATTATTTTACTATTTTATTTCATTTTGTTTCATTTTATTTTATTTATTTCGTTTCATTTTATTTCATTTTGTTTTGTTTTATTTTATTTATTTTATTTTATATTTTATTTTATTATTTTACTTTCTGTGTTTTATTCTATATTTTATTTTACCTTATTTTACTATTTTATTTCATTTCGTTTTGTTTTATTTTATTTTATTTCGTTTTATTACATTTTTTTTTTATTTTATTTTATTTTATATTTTATTTTATTATTTTACTTTTTATATTTTATTTTATATTTTATTTTACCATATTATTTTACTATTTTATTTCATTTTGTTTCATTTTATTTTATTTATTTCGTTTCATTTCAATATTATATTTTATTTTATTTTATTATTTTCCTACTGAGGGTCTTCCTGTCAGCCTGTGTGGGTGCTTCTTTCAGGTGGCCATGAAGCATCCCTCGGCAGTGACGGCCTGCAATTTGGACCTGGAGAATCTTATCACCGATTCCAACCGCAGCATCGCCACGCTGGCCATCACCACCCTACTGAAGACGGGCAGCGAGAGCAGCGTGGACCGGCTGATGAAGCAGATTTCCTCCTTCGTCTCGGAGATATCGGATGAGTTCAAGGTCAGCCTCCTAAAAACCTCTTCCCGCCAGAATTGATAAGCGATGGGATTCTGGCTCTCCTCCGCCAAATCGGCACGGAGCCGAGTCCGCCGAATTTAGAAAAAGGGCGCGTCAGGTTTGGTATCTGTGGAGATTCTCCATCATCCAGGTGACGGTTGTCCCAAAGGTACTTTTTTTTTTTCCCCCCCCAAAAGGGGACTTGGACTTTCTCGGTTCTTCGGAACTGAAGAAACTTCTTGGATGAGAAGCGAAATGTTTTCGAAGGGGAAAAAAAAACCCAAGAAAGTCGAGCTGCTTTTTGGGGGGAAAAGCACCTTTGGGACTAACTGAATTAATGGAATTGGAAGGAACCTTGGGGGTCTTCAAGTCCAGGGTGTTCCCAACCAACTGGCCTGGGGCCCGATAGCGGGCCGTGTATCTGCCGCTTGTGTAAATGGCCTGTGACTTGCTACAGAGAACCGACTGGTCCTCACTCAACGCCGTACCGTCGTTGCCTTTGCAGGTGGTGGTCGTCCAAGCCATCAGTGCTCTGTGCCAGAAATATCCCCGGAAACACAGCGTCATGATGACCTTCCTGTCCAACATGCTTCGGGATGACGTAAGCGGCCTCTTCTGCATTGTGTGTGTGTGTGTGTCCTGCAGCCTTCTGTTGGGGGAACTTAACCTACAGGGGGGGAGCCAGATTCACTGAACGACCTCGACTGCCTTAACCACTGCGGCGATTCGCATAAATAACAAGAAAGGTCGTAAAATGGGGCAAAAACTCCCGTCACAACCCGCCATGGCTTAGCGGTGGAGATTTGAGGCTCAATGGTGGACGTAAGTCGAGGACCGCCCGATAAACAAGGAAGCAGTTAGGGGGTCAAGGATCCCATCCCTCGGCCTTCTCTCCGTAACGGCAGAATTCCCTGCCGCTGGAATCGGCGGATCGTGAAGAACGTTCTCCTGGAGTTCACGTTTTATTTTATTGATGGATTTTCTTTTGTTTCATTTTTATTGCATTTTTTTTTAAAAAAAGTCAGAGCATGCACAGTCTTCCTGCGCTGAGGTAGCCCAGGAGTAAATACAGTAAACAGCGGGTTGGTCTTCAATGTGGTTTATATTACACACTATCTACAAATATACTAGAAACAAAATACAGCAAACTCCAATGCACAGAAGTTACAGCAGGGAACGGAGGAGAGAGAGAAAGACTCTAGCAAGGCCTTCCCTTTTATACTCAGGCTCTTAAAGGGATATACACACACCTGCTGAGTCATTCCTATCCTTGCATCATTCCCCTCACAGTATACAAGCTGGTTAGCTTCTATAGCAGTACCTTGACAAAAATGTATTTTAGCCTAATACATACAGGAGGTGATAATTCAGCAAACTCCAATGCACAGCAGTTACAGCAGGGAACGGAGGAGAGAGAGAAAGACTCTATCAAAAAGCCTTCCCTTTTATACTCAGGCTCTTAAAGGGACACAGACCCTGCTGAGTCATTCCTAACATTGCATCATTCCTCTCACGTTATACAAGCTGGTTAGCTTCTAAACAAAAAATATATTTTAGCCTTCAGGGCTTCAGCTTTCCGCTTTTGGGGGGATTTCCTGTCAGCCTTTCCGGACGGTTCTTTCAGGTGGCCATGAAATGATTTGGGCCTCGGTTCTGGTCGTAAGTCGAGGACCTTGGGCCTGACTGCTGCTCTACACACCTGCTTTGTGTCCCCCGCAGGGCGGCTTCGAATACAAGCGGGCCATTGTGGACTGCATCACAGACATCATCGAGGAGAACCCCGAAAGCAAAGAGCCAGGCTTGGCCCATCTGTGCGAGTTCATCGAAGACTGCGAGCACACGGTGCTGGCCACCAAGATCCTCCACCTGCTGGGCAAGGAGGGGCCCAGGACCCCCTCCCCTTCCAAGTATATCCGCTTCATCTTCAACCGGGTGGTGCTGGAGAACGAAGCCGTTCGGGCCGGTGAGTTGGGGGGGGGCGATGGCCTTCCTTCCACAGCCGGTCCGGTTTGTGGTGAGGGGCATTAAGATGGGTGGACTTAACTCCCAGAATTCCCCAGCCAGCTGGCTTTAAGACAAATGGACTTCAACTCCCAGAATTCACTAGACAGCTGGCTTTAAGTGAAATGGACTTCAACTCCCAGAATCCCCCAGCCAGCTGGCTTTAAGAGAAATGGACTTCAATTCCCAGAATCCCCCAGCCAGCTGGCTTTAAGAGAAATGGACTTCAATTCCCAGAATCCCCCAGCCAGCTGGCTTTAAGTGAAATGGACCAACTCCCAAATCCCCCAGCCAGCTGGCTTTAAGCAAAATGTACTTCAACTCCCAGAATCCCCCAGCTAGCTGGCTTTAAGTGAAATGGATTTCAACTCCCAGAATTCACTAGCCAGCTGGCTTTAAGTGAAATGGACTTCCAGAATCCCCCAGCCAGCTGGCTTTAAGATAAATGGACCAACTCCCAGAATCCCCCAACCAGCTGGCTTTAAGATCAATGGACTTCAACTCCCAGAATCCCCCAGTCAGCTGGCTTTAAGATCAATGGACTTCAACGCCCAGAATTCCCCAGCCAGCTGGCTTTAAGATAAATGGACTTCAACTCCCAGAATCCCCTAGCCAGCCTACTTTAAGAAGGGTGGACCTCAATTCCCAGAATTGAGCTCTGCTGGATAGGGAATTCTGGGAGATGAAGTCCACATACAGGTAGTCCTCCCACTTACGACCGTAATGGGCAAATTAATTCATCACTCTTGTAAAGTGGATCGTCACATGCTGGCTGGGGAATTCTGGGAGATGAAGTCCATATACAGGTAATCCTCACGTTATCCCCGTCATGGACAGGCTAAGAAAGTCGTGACTATCCTAACGGTCGTTAAGAGAAACTCCCTGGATACTCCTGCTTGGTCTTGGAAGTCCTTGAGATGGACTAGCCACTTGAAAGTGACTTTTATTTATTTGGCTGGGCAGCTTCGAGCAGAAAAAGTATTTAAAAAGAAAACATAAATATCGTCAGCTATATAAAATGACCGATAAAATGACACCATTTTGCCTCTTGCCTTGCCTTCCTCCATAGCGGCCGTCAGTGCTTTGGCCAAATTCGGGGCCCAGAATGAGAGTCTCCTGCCTAGCATTTTGGTGCTCCTGCAGAGGTGAGTTCAACCCTACACCCCCTACACAAACACACACACACCACAAACACACACAAATCCAACTTTCTTCCAAACTAGTTGTAAGCTGAGGACTATACGTATCTTAAAAGTTGCCGGGGCCGAGCCGTACCGTCGTAGGAGAAACTCCCGGGGTGCTTCTGCTCTGTCTTGGAACTTCTCCAGATGGACTAGCCACTTGAAAGTGATTGTTATTTATTGGTCTGGGCAGCTTCGAGCCAAATGGGTTCTCTCTTTTTTTTCTGGGCCTCCCTAAAGCTAGACTGGACGGTCTCCAAGAAGACCTTGGAACGACTCTCAAGCCGTCTTTCTCGGCTTTTCTTTAGGCCAGGGCTCTTCAAACGTGGCCCTTTTATGACTGGTGGACTTCAACTCCCAGAATTCCTCAGCCAGGCACTGCTTCTGACCAATGTTAGTCTTACATTTCTTCTTTGGCTTCCTCCTCCTCCTCCTCCTCCTCCCATCTTCCTCCTTCTCCCTCTTCCTCCTCCTCCCCCTCCCATCTTCCTCCTCCTCCTCCTCCTGTCTTCCTCCTTCTCCTGTCTTCTTCCTCCTTCTCCTCCTCCTCCTCCTGTCTTCCTCTTCTTCCTCCCGTCCTCCTCCTCCTCCCCTCTTCCTCCTCCTCCTCCTCCTCCTCCTCCCATTTCCTCTTCCTCCTCCTGTCCTCCTCCTCCTTCTCCCGTCTTCCTCCCCTTCTCCTCTTCCTTCTTCTCCTCCTTCTTCTCCTTCTCCTCCTCCTCCTCTTCCTTCTCCTCCTTCTCTTCCTCCTCCTCCCCTTCCCGTCCTCCTCCTCCTCCCATTTCCTCCTCCTCCTCCTTCTCTTCCTTCTTCTCCTCCTCCTCTTCCTCCTCCTTCCCTCCTCCCCCTCCACACAGGTGTGTGATGGACACTGATGACGAAGTCCGGGACCGAGCCACTTTCTACCTGAGCGTGCTGCAGCAGAGGCAGCTGACTCTCAACGCCGCCTACATCTTTAACGGTAGGTGGCCGAATAGCAGAGCTGGAAGGGACCCTGGAGGTCTTCCAGCCCAACCCCCTGCTCAAGCAGGAGAGCCCCGTGCCACTTCAGGCCAAATGGCTGTCCAATCTCTTCTGGAAAACCCCCAGCGATGGAGCACACCCCCCACACACCCCCTCAGAAAGCAAAGACGTTCCACTGATGAATTTGCTCCCAACTGCCAGGAAATTCCTCCTGGCTTCTCACACGGTCTGCTTTCTCAATCTTTGGCGTCTGCGTTCCAATCGTTCCCCCTTCCCCTCTGGGGTCCGTTGGCAGGAGCGACACCTTGTTTCGAAACCTGGTTTGAAACCCACCCAACCCCCATTTTGTCTTGGGCAGGTCTGACCGTCTCCATTCCTGGCATGGAAAAGGCCTTGCACCAGTACACCCTGGAGCCTTCGGACAAGCCTTTCGACATGAGGTCCGTGCCGCTGGCCACCGCCCCGGTCTTTGAGCAGAAAGCAGGTACTGGACTAGAGGGTGGTCAGGCTAAGGCGGGCATGTGTGTGTGTGTCTGTGTGTCTTGTCTTTGAGGGCCACTGTAGAAATAGAGGTCGTGTAAAGTTTGTGAGCAGCAAACTGCCTGATCAAATGCATGACCAATTCTACAATGACCTCACCTGGTCCACATGATATCAGCTAGCCCACATCAACAGGATGCTGCAGAAAACTGCCCGTGGGCTGGTGCCTCCTGGCTGGTATATTCTGAAGGATTGGCAAGGCGTTTCACCAATAAAAATGCTGTGGCTCTGCTGTTGCCATGTTATCTTATGCCACATGGAAAAACTGTATAAAAAGCAATAAAGACTGCGAGGAAGGGTGCACCCTGCAAGGACTGGTCTCTGATTCCGTCAGGCCACGGGGCCCTTTGAGAGGCTGCTGAAACCGGCAGAGATTGACACCCAACAGAGATAAGGAGAAACACACGACCCAAACAAGTTAACATCTGGGGAGATTTCTCCATCGTCCAGGTTGCCCCAAGGATGCCTTTTTTTCAGGAGGCCACTGGACTTTCTGGTTTTTCTTTGAAGACATTTCGCTTCTCATCCCAGAAGCTTCTTCAGGTTCTGACTGGATGCTGGGGAAATGGAAAGATTTATACTCCTCGCAGAGAGCCGGTCATTTGCCTCCTTTTAGAAGGTCGTTGAGGCCACTTGGGGGACGACCTGTATGATGGTCGAAATGGTACAGGGTCTCCTGCCTGAGCAGGGGGTTGGACTTGATGACCTCCGAGGTCCCTTCCAACTTTATTATTATTACTAGCTGTACCCGGCCACGCGTTGCTGTGGCTCAGTCTGGTTAAATGGAAAAGGAAGAATTGGAAATTTGGAAATCGTAAATCAGAAACGTTGAAATGGAATCGTAAAATCGTAGCGTGTGTTGCTTTTACGTCCAACAGATGGCGCTGTTTTTTTTAAAAAAGTATGTTTTTACCTGTCACAGGTGTGACATCTATATAATAGTAGGTATATAAAAACACGCGCGTATTCGAATGAAATGTTGTGTCAAAATTTCAAAGCAATTGGTGAAGAACTTTCGGAGATTTAAGATTTTGAACAAACGAACATTTACAGTTTTATTTATATATATATAATATAAATATATGTAGAAGATTATTATGGTGATTTTGTTTCTCTTTGCATCCAATTCTCTTGCCTTCCTGGGTCAGAAAATGTTAATGGTGGTTTAATTTCCGATTGCAGAGATTTCCATGATGGCCAACAAGCCTGAAAAAATGGCTCCTTCACGACAAGACATATTCCAGGGTAACGATATTTTTATTCCCCTCCACGATCAGAATTTGCCCCTCACGCTTTGAAACAGGACAAAATGGCGCCCTGTAGAGATTAAAGAAACGTTGCTTATTGGTTTGTTTGTTTCCTGCCTTCGTTTTTACCCATAACTCAAGGCAGTCAACATATCCACACCTTCCTCTTCCTCTTTTCCCCATAGATTGGGCTGAGAGAGAAGGATTGGCCCAAATTCACACAGCCGGCTTTAATGCCTAAGGCAAGGGGTAGGCCACCTCGGCTCTTTTATGACTCCTGGACTTCAGCTCCCAGAATTCCTGAGCCAGCACGGAGGAACCATGGCCCCCTTGATGACTCGTGGACTTCAGCTCCCAGAATTCCTGAACGGGCCATGCTGAGGGGAAAGGGAGAGGTTTCCAAGCTGAGCCGTGGTGGCTCAGGAATTCTGGGAGTTGAACTCCACGAGTCATAAAAGAGCCAAGGTTGCCTGCCCCTGGCCTAAGGCGGGACTAGAACTCACCGCCTCCTGGTGATTGGCCCAAAGATACCCAGCCGGCATTCACGGCTAAGGCGGGACTAGAACTCGCCGTCTCCTGGTGATTGGCCAAAGTCACCCAAACGGCTTTCATGCCTAAGGTGGGACTAGAACTCATCGTCTCCTGGTGATTGGCCCAAAGTCACCCGGCTGGCATTTATGTCTAAGGCGGGACTAGAATTGATGGGCTCCTGGTGATTGGTCCAAAATCACCCAGCTGGTATTTATGCCTAAGGCGGGACTAGAACTCACTGTCTCCTGGTGATTGGCCCAAAGTCACCCAGCCGGCATTCATGGCTAAGGTGGGACTAGAACTCACCGTCTCCCACATTTGTATTTGGAATTTTGACCCTAAACCCTAAACTGAGCCCTGCTGGCGCAGTGGTTAGAATGCAGTACTGCAGGCTAATTCTGCCGGCTGCCAGCAGTTCGGCAATTCAATCCTGACCAGCTCAAGGTTGACTCGGCCGTCCATCCTTCCAAAGTCAGTAAAAGGAGGACCCAGATTGTTGGGGGCAAAAGGCCGACTCTGTAAACCCCTTAGACAGGAGTGTAAAGCACCGTGAAGTGGTATATAAGTCTAAGTGCTATTGCTAAGTCGGAAGGAAGGAAGGAAGGAAGGAAGGAAGGAAGGAAGGAAGGAAGGAAGGAAGGAAGGAAGGAAGGAAGGAAGGAAGGAAGGAAGGAAGGAAGGAAGGAAGGAAAAAAAGGGGAAGGAGGGCGGGCCCTGATGGTGCAATGGCTAGAATGCAGCATTGCAGGCTAACTCTGCCCCCTGCCAGCAGTTCGATCCTCGGCTTCCATCCTTCCGAAGTCAGTAAAATGAGGACCCAGATTATTGGGGGCGAAAGGCTGACTCTGTAAGTTGCTTAGAGAGGACTGGAAGCGGTATATGAGTCTATTGCTAAGTGCTATTGCTATATGATTTATTTTCTCTTATCTTTTATTGCTCTTTTTCCCCTTTCAGAACAACTGGCAGCCATTCCTGAATTCAAGAACCTGGGCCCGCTGTTCAAGTCGTCCGAAGCCGTGCAGCTGACGGAGGCTGAGACGGAGTATTTTGTCCGCTGTATTAAGCACGTCTTTGCGAATCACGTTGTCTTCCAGGTAAAAAAAAAAAAGATAAAAAAGCAAATATAATAATATAATAATAATAATAAAGTTGGAAGGGACCTTGGAGGTCATCTAGTCCAACCCCCTGCTCAGGCAGGAAACCCTATACCATTTCAGACAAATGGCTGTCCAGTCTCTTCTTAAAAACTTCCAGTGTTGGAGCATTCACCAACTTCTGGAGGCAGGTTGTTCCACTGGTTAATTGTTCTCACTGTCAGGAAGTTTCTCCTTAGTTCCAGGTTGCTTCTCTCCTTGATGAGTTTCCATCCGTTGCTTCTTGTCCTGCCTTCAGGCGCCTTGGAGAATAGCTTGACTCCCTCTTCTTTGGGGGCAGCCCTTGAGATACTGGAAGACTGCTATCATGTCCCCCCTCGTCCTTCTCTTCATTAAACTAGACAGACCCAATTCCAGCAACCGTTCCTTATATGCTTTAGCCTCCAGTCCCCTGATCATCTTTGTTGCTCTTCTCTGCACTCTTTCTGGAGTCTCAACATCTTTTTTACATCGTGGTGACCAAAACTGGATGCAGTTGGGGGACATTGGCAGAGTAAACGAATTAAAAAGACTTGAAGCTCATTAAGTTTAGTTAGAATCTTTCACTGTCGCCTCTTTGTAGAGCAGGGGTGTCCAGCATCGGCCACTTTAACACCCGTGGACTTCAACTCCCACAATTCCCCCCCTCCAGGGGAATTCTGGGAATTGAAGTCCACAGATCATAAAGCAGCCAACGTTGGGCACCCACGGCATAGGGCAGGGGTCTTCAAACCTGGCCCTTTTAGGACTTGTGGACTTCCAACTCCCAGAATTCCTCCGCCAGGCACGGAGCCAAGGCAAACTAGAAATCCCCACCAGGCGCTCTCTTTTCTTTCAGTTTGATTGCACCAACACCCTGAACGACCAGCTCCTGGGAAAAGTGACGGTTCAGATGGAGCCTTCGGAAGCCTACGAAGTCCTCCGTTGCATCCCGGCTCCCAGCCTTTCATACAACCAACCAGGCATGTGCTACACCCTGGTGCGGCTACCTCTGGACGACCCCACCGCAGGTACCGTCGGGAAAGCATTTTTCTTCCAGATGTTCTTCCCTCTGCGTTGAGGCTCAGATTCCCCCTCCGTTCCTCTCTCGTGTCAGCTTTCTTGGCCAGTTTTCAGACAGGCGCTAGAATTCCCAGTCGCCCACCCGGCTCAGTAGCCCCAAAGAGCGAATCTAGCTTAACTTTCCCAATATAGCCATAGTGTTTTGTGCAACGCACAAGTAAAGAGTAGCGGCTCTTTTGTCGCGCTGTTTGCAGCACACGGAGAGCATTTGTTAAGCCCGTTTTGGTGAGGTCATGGTTTCCCGGAATGTGTGAACCGAGAAAATGGAATGCTTCGGTTAATAAGAGTCAGTGGTTAAGGCGCCAGGCTAGAAACCTGGAGACATTGAGTTCTAGTCCTGCCTTAGGCGTGAAAGGTGGCTGGGTGACTTTGGGCCTATCACCAGGAGATGGTGAGTTCTAGTCCCGCCTTAGGCATGAAAGCTGGCTGGTTGACTTTTGGCCAGTCGCTAGGAGATGGTGAATTCTAGTCCTACCTTATTTATTTATTTATTTATTTA